CCCACCAGCCACTCCTCAGAAGGAAGGTTGGGCAATCCTACTTCCGTAGTGATACTGCCTCGGAAACCCAAGGAGGGGTCGCTATGAGTCGGGTCGACTCGAGGGCAGTGAGTTGAGTGAGTTGAGTGGTACAGTGGTTAGAGTATAGAGTTGCTAGCCAATAAGTTTGTAGTTTGAACCCACCAGCTGCTCCATGGAAGAAATATAAGCAGTCTGCTTCCCTAAAGACTTACAGCCTTGGAAACTCTATGAGGCAGGTCTACTCTGTCCTATAGGGTTGCTATGAACTGGAGTCAACTGGATGGCAGTGGGTTTGGTTTTTTAAGGGGAATTTCACAGGGTGGTCACGCATTTCTTGAGAGCTGCTGAGAGAATTTATGATGGGGGTCTTGTGTTGAGACCCTCCCTTAAGAATATTCTTTCAGTATCTTTAGTTTAATCACTAAGAAGAAGTTTCCTTTGTTATGTACTTAATTCTAAGGGTTTGACCAAAAAGCCAACCTCAATGCCATCGAGTGGGGAAGGAGATTGCCCCAACTTCTTTCCATGGAGTGGCTGATAGGTTTGAATCACCAACCTTCTGGTACCTTCTGATTATCAGTTAAATGCCTTAGGCACTATGCCACCAGAGCTCCTTAAGGGTTTGACAGTTACAGGGAAAATCTTGGTTAGATTAAGTCTGTCTAAGGGTTTGTTGTTTGCAAGTGTAATAAGAAAAAGCTAACAAGGATTTGAGGCTCAAACCTGGGCCAATTATTCTGAAACGAGTCGAGCACCTCAATTTTGGAACTCTTAAACTGTTCCAGCTTTTCCTTGGCTTTCAGAATTTAGTAGAATACTTCTAGTGGGATAAATGCTTAATAAATGTCTGTTGAATAACCAAGTCAATGATTGAATGAGTAATTAAAAGAATGAGTTCATCAGTGAACAAACAAACTGTTTTCCCCAGGCTTCAGCCACAGATGAAATTCAGTCTGCTGAAAGGCTATTTATAACTCCTTTTTTTCTCTTTAACCCAGATTTCCTGAAGGAGTGGTTATATAAATTGCCTCCAGGGTTTACCACAGCCTTTTTGGAAAACTTCATTATCTGCCTTCTAGTCAGAGAACTGACTAAAGTGGTGCTCTTACAGACCACTGTGACCTATTCGTCTAAATTTGAAGATTTTCCTGTCAGTCTACATCCTCCTTTCTAAAGTACTTGGTAGAGTTGAACACAAATTGTTGTTGTTGTTGTTGTTGTTGTTATGTGCCGTCGAGTTGAACCTGACTCATAGCAACCCCTCCTTGGGTTTCCGAGGCAGTATCACTACAGAAGTAGAGCCCCATCTTCCTTCCGAGGAGTGGCTGGTGGGTTTGAACTGACACCCTTCTGGTTAGCAGTCAGGTGCCTTAGGCACTACGCTACCAGAGCTCCCCACAAATTCTTAAATCACCTAATCTTTATAAGAGTAGTAATTGTGAATCTCAAAATATAACTAATGTGTGCTTGAAATGTAACTTACCTTTTTTTTATTTTCTATAATTCAGTGTAGTACACATTTGAGTCTCTCTTCTCCAGGCTTGTAAAAATGTCATCTCCCTCAATTTGGGATTTCTTCCCCCTTATTCAGGTATTGTGTCTATTTCTGGGCTACATACAGTGTCTCAAAGTATTGCAGGAATTGGGGAGGATCTTAGTCCCTAATCATCCAGTATCCTTACTGGTTTCAAACGAGATGTAGATGACTGTCTTGCCTTAAGTGTAGTAGTCCAGGAAGATCACCATTTATTAATCTTCACTCATGTTCATAAAACTGCTTCAGATCCTGTTAACCTTCTTTGCCACTGCAATGCCACTCTCATTGTCCCTATCTATCCCATCACACAGCAATTTCTTCTTTGAAGTTGTCCTGTGCTTTACTCAGGAAGCAAAGGAGCTTTGGTGGCACTGTGTTTAAGGCATTGAGCTGCTAACCAAAAGGTAGGCGGTACCCAAGAAGCCAGGAAAGAAGGTTTTTGAACTTCAATTTTATGAATTAGGGGTAACGTTATCTGCCTTGGGGGTTAGTTGAGTGGGGCAGAGAGCAAGGTCTCCTTTTCTAGGGTCATACAATGTCTGCTCACTCTTCCATGCCAAGAAATTTGGAAGTTTGCAAAGTGCCTCCCAAAAAATATAAGCAGGTATACTGCTGAGTTTCATTTGTCATGCTTCCTTGAAATTCCAATGTTTGGGGTTTTAATTTGATACTTTTGAAATGTATCTCTTAGGAAAAAAACATTGAAGCTCTCCCCTTTCAGGAAGGTCTTTCATGCCATTAACTGTCTTTCAGAGTGTGGAAGGAGAACACCATGAGAAGGCTGTGGAACTACTCAAGGCTGCTAAGGACAGCGTCAAGCTGGTGGTCCGATACACTCCAAAAGTCCTGGAAGAAATGGAGGCTCGTTTTGAAAAGCTACGGACAGCCCGGCGTCGGCAGCAGCAGCAGTTGTTAATTCAGCAACAACAGCAACAACAGCAACAAACACAACAAAATCATATGTCATAGGTGAGGAATGCCATATTCTTCAAGGAAATGTTTTTTATTTATAGTCTTGTAGACAGCCGAAACACCACTAAATTTAATAACCCAAACAAAATCAATCAAATACACAACAAAACAATTATTGCAGACAGTGTAAACAAAATAGTTGCTAATTTTATGTAATTCAGCCGTATTCCCCCAAATATAAGATATTTTGGAAGATCGTAGACTTTGGGAGGCAGATACAAACTATTTGATAGTTTTGTATAAATTAGAAAAAACAGTCTCTTTAAAATCCAGATTCTAAGGCACATGGCTAGATGAGAAAAGTCTGGGCTGGATTCCAGCCCCCACCTGCCTCCTTAGCCAGTTGCTTTTGCACAGTACATAAACAGCACAACCATATAGGCAAATATCCTCTCTAAACCAAAAATTTAAAAATCCACTGCATTTGAGTAGAACTGCCTCGTAACGTTTCCAAGGCTGTAATCTGTATAGAAGCAGACTGCCATATATTTCTACCACAGAGTTTCTGGTGCATCTGAACTGCTGACTTTTGATTTGCAGCCAAGCACTTAACCACTGGGCTGCCAGGGCTCCTAATAGCCCCTGTAGAATACTGAAACAGCAATTATTGGAAAATAACTCCACTGAAAAAAAAAAAAATACAATGGAATTTACCAATAAGAGACCTACATTGCCCATGCTATAAGGGATTTTGAAGTTCTTTTGGGGTGTTTAATCTCTAATAAAATGGCCCTAAGGTACATCTACCTTTTCCTAAATTCTGCTTTTGTGACAAACAGTGCTAAAGCAGGTTTTACTCTGTAAGCTCAGAAAAATTGAAGAAGAAAGATTAATAAAAGTCACCGCCTTTGAAGTACCTGTTATGTGCTAGTTTCTTTTCACACATAATCTCTCATTCTCACAAAAAGGTTTCTACAAAGTATCTTTACCTCCATTTTATAGAGAAAGAAACTTAGGCTATAAGAGCTTGTGGTTCCTGACAACCACCCAGTTACACACTGTCTTAGGTATCTATTGCTGCTATAACAGAAATACCCTAAGTGGATAGCTTTAACAAACAGAAATTTATTCACTCACCCATTAGGAGTCTTGTTGTTGTTGTTGTTGTTGTTGTTATGTGCCGTCGAGTCAGCTCCGACTCATAGCGACCCCTCCTTGGGTTTCCGAGGCAGTATCACTACGGAAGTAGGATTGCCCAACCTTCCTTCCGAGGAGTGGCTGGTGGGTTTGAACCGCCAGCCTTCTGGTTAGCAGTCAAGTGCTTTAGCCACTATGCTACCAGTCTAGAAATCCAAATTCAGGGTGCCAACTCTAGGGGAAGGCTTTCTCTCTGTGTCAGCTCTAGAGAAAGAACCTTGTCTCCTTTCAATATCTCTAGGCCCAACATCCCTTGGAGATCTCCCTGTATCCAGGCATCAGTCTTCCCCTAGGTCTAGGAGAGTCTCCGCAAAGGAACTCAGGTCCAAAGGACATGCTCTGCTCCTGGCTCTTCTTTATCGGTGGCAGTCATGTCCCTCACTCTCCAATTGCATCTCTCTCCTTTTATTTCTTATAAGATTAAATGTGATGCAGTCAATACCCCAGGGAAACTCCCCTTATTTTGAATAGGGCTGGGACCTGAGTAAGGGTGGTGACTTAAGTAAAGGTTATGCAGTTTACCCTAATCCTGCCTCATTAACATAACAAATATTATGCACATTAACCACTGGCAGAGGTTAGGATTTATAGCACATTACAAAATGGAGAATAATCACACAATACTAGAAGCCATGATCTAGCCAAATTGATACATATTTAAGGGAGACAGAATTCAATGCATGACACACAATTAGAAGTAGCATAGTGCATAGCATTTTTCCTTCTTTCTCTGTCAGGTACTTCATCTGCTAACATCAGATATTCTGGAGTCATTCCTTGCTGCTCTTTGGAAGACTTCATATTATTGGACACTCTACACTGATTTCTGCAGATGTGTATCTGAAATGAGGTTCAGATATCCTTGGAAAAATGACAATGGATAATGGTGGTTTAAAGTCATTCAGTCGCAGGTTACCATTTGCATTATATCCAGAAACATTGGATATATGATGAGGCTTTCAATATTTGTGACATTTCTGAAAAGTTGAGGCTACACAGGAAAGTGGAGAGAGTTGAGGATTTGGACCCACAGTGCTAGGGAATCAACAATCTATCCTCAACAGCTGAACCCACCAGTCACTCTGCAGGAGAAAAGAGATGTCAATCTGCACCCATAAAGAAGCTCTGGTGGCATAGTGCCTAAGGCATTTGACTGCTAACCAGAAGGTTGATGGTTCAAATCCACCAGCTACTCTGCAG